ATTGATCAATGACTCTACTTGAAAATAAAATCCACAATTATCATATTCTTGTTGAGCAGTTCATTCTTGGACTGAAAGCAGTTCACTTACCAAACGTCCAAAATAATATCTACAAGGCGTTTCAGCTGCTACATTTGTATCTTGCCCAAAGTCCAGGACAAGAGAAAACTGATTTTCTGGATTATCCAAAGCAACTTTTCCTTTAAATGGTAAAAATGAAAGGGCCTGTGGATCCAGATGTGAAATGAAATAAAAAATGAATGAAACTTATTATTCTAGAATACATATTTTTTTTATTGTTAATTAAAATTACTAACCTCATAATAATGCTCCCTCTGTGATTGAGGTATCTTTTTGTTATAAGTTTCTACATTGATTCTGAATGTTGCTTCTTTGCTGCAATAGGGTTGCTTTGGAGGACAAATATAAAAAAAATCAGTTTTTTATCGTTCTTTGTTTGTCCATCTTTATTGGACATGTGTGAGATGGAATGTTACCAACGTGTTCTACACCCACGCGGGCTTGCACAGTGTTCGTTACTTTGCTTTGGAAACTGTTCGACAGCATTGGTTTTTCCTACAATGTGAAGCGTCGACGTGGGACCGTCGTTGATTGGCAGGTTACGCGGTTACTAAGCAAAACAAAATGGCGTGCGATCGAAGTGAAAAGTTTTTGGCCTGTTTTTTCTTTAGATCGTTTGATTATACTCAARCRTATAACTCAMAATTRCTTSAAAGGACAGAAAATCTGAAGCCTAATAGTCTGTGAGACAAATACATGTCTTTTGGCACTGAGTACTTAGTTAACAACAAATAGTTAACGTGAGTTGAGTGGATCATTGCAGTGGTTTGCCGATGAAAATTATTTAAGTTTACCAACATATCTTAAACAAGAACTTTGACATTTCAAGAACTCCAGAACTCTTGATTAGTTTCTGCTCTAGAAAAATAGCAATAATACAATGGGGGCGACATCACTGGTATTCTTGATTAGACATATGAAATGAGCTTTAGCGGCCATATCAAATTGAAACATTCATAAATGTTTTAATAGTGATGATATCATAACAATCTATAATTATTTGAATTGTGATCTTTTTGCAAAAGTATGCAGTAACTATGTCATTTAACTTACCATTCTCCTAGTTGGATATTTCTTAAGATTTTCACATAGTTGAGCTAATGTTTTGCCGGTTCCCCAAAGTTCATATAGAGATCTATTATATCAATGATAAATACTAATATTAATTATATTCATTTTGAAATCACAAGTGAATCCTGCAATCTGATTGGTTCTTAKCACTAGGTTGATTTCAGCCTAAATCACACCATTTTGAACTCTTAATCACACAAAGCAAATATTGTACTTGTACGAATTAATAAAAGTATATGCTGTACAATGTGTTAGATTTCAAAATGGCAGGGATGCCAACCCCCGAACTTTTCAAATCTTGAGAACGAAAATGATGACATCATACCGGAAATGACGTTTCATAACATTATCGATGACGTCATCGCATTTATCAAATTTYGYTATAACTARTGATTTGATTGGATGTATCTTAACCAATCATATTATAGATTGTATTGTGCAATTGAAAATGCCCGCGGATGACTGGGACTTTTTGTATTTTTTCAGAACTAAAATG